GTTAAATTCGACAAATATTAGCAGTCCTGAAAGAACAAATAGACGAGTTGATCCAAACACTGGGACTCAACAACAAACACCCCAGCGATTTGTTAGAGATACTTTTCACTACAATTATTTAAACAGCATAACTACCAAAAGCACACCTCCCATTTAAATCACGCGTCCAAGTAAATAAACGTTTTATTTTACCAGGTAAGGCCCACCGAGTTACAGCTCTTTTCAGAAGCAACCTGGCCACAAATGATAGCTCAAAAGAAGTGGCTTATCATGTGGAAATTTATCATGGCCAAAAATCTGGAGGGAAGGAAAAACTGGAGAACCCATAGAAAAATCCACACAACCACGGGAAGAGAGAGAACACGACAACACCAAATATACAGCAGGCGTCAAGTTGAATATCGAAGACACGCATCAAAGGCAGCTGTGGCATTCACTATCTGCGCACATACGTGCCAAAGAGACTTAACCGCATGGCAGGCAATACCAACAGCACTCGCCAAAAAAACGTAACTAACACGTGACCTTTGCAATTATCAATGGCAATTCTATTTCACGTACTGCTGCGCAGCTGCAAAACAATGTTCGAATGTTACACAAAGCGCTGAGCAGAAGCTATTATCGTCGACATTACTGCAAGGCACACCATACTTTACAAATGAACTCTGTTGCGTTCAAAAGCCAAACTGTTAAAGCCCCCTTCGCCCCCCCCCCACCGTTTGAAATGGGCACGAGTTTTGTGGCTCATATCTCTTGCAGGCTCCCGGAGCCAATGGTAGGAAATTTCACATTTCAATGGCAGTCGCCAGTGTCAGCATTGGACAACTATTACTGGGGCTTTACATAAATTATATCGTGTTATATAATAATTATTGACTTTACATGACAAGCTCGTGACGATTGGGGCGAAGACACTGCTTGACTAGGACTTTAACTCGTTACCTTCCAATTGTGTCTAATCATAGCACCTACGACTGCAAAATCCACATCACTCCACGATAAAGCGTACATCAACATAAGTGCGGCGATATCAGTAGTATCGGTAATGTTAACAAATGAACAGTAGCACGGTGACATCAACGGCAATGGCAGTGACAGACTGGATATTACAAACGCATCGATGGCACGAACACATTTGGAACAATTTTCTACGCCAAAAAATGTATGATAATCGCAGGCAAAATAAGCAGCCTGACACAGCGATAACAACAAATTAAGCCGACGAGAACATCACACAGGATTGACCACAGGGTTAGGAGAGGCATTAGGAAAGGTTAAACTAAAAAAAACGCAAACTCACGGCGTATCATCACGATCGCCAGGGTTCACACTTCAATCTATGCGAGTCGCATACATGTTACATGCCACATGTTACGCAAGTACAGAGGGGGCTGAAGCTTTTCTGGTTCTGTTTTAAAAAGATTTCGATTCAGGAGTTCAATCGCTCCACTAATTATTGCCTCAACAGGAAACGCATTCACAGTTCAAAGCCAAGCAGTGCATCTGTACAGCACCGGAGGGAGAAGCACTTTTAAAAAGGGAAAACCCGTACTGTAATTGCGAGTGTAAATTTCTTTAAAAACCAAATGCAATAAATTTGAACCCGGTTGTAAAAAGTTGACACGAACAGAGATAAATTACATTTATAGACATCTGTGCATTGAAATTCAAGTGACCTATGCTGAAGCAGTGCTTATTATATATATAAACGTTGGAAGAATATGGAAAGATCACAATTTGTATCCACATCTTTTTAACAAAATACCTTTAAGACCATCTAGCCTTTTCTGCAAGTCGTCTTTGGTAATTTTTTAGTGAATGGTCAGCAGTTAAACTGCTGTATTCCAGTGCCAAAATCACAATCGAAAGGTCCCAAAAGTTAAAATTCCGGTCACGCTCTGACTCGATCAATCACCTGTCCAAAGTCAATAAAATATAAACGACTTTGTTGTCAAGCCAACAGCTGTCATCCAAACGGAGTGTCCTGCTCCCGCCACGTGAACGTGGACTTTCCAATGCCACCTTCCCTCCCGGCTGCCAACCGAAATGAACGCTGCATCACCGATGCTAGTTGAGCACTGCGAGCTATCGCTCCCTCACGAGCAGCATGACGAACAAATTTTGAGGGCCCACACATCAGCTGCACCGTTCGTTTTCCTGAGTTTCAAGTCTGCGCTGCCACCATCAGACACAGGCCCGGGATGGCGCGGGGGGGGGGGGGCAACGAGACCTGGCATCACAAACGCTGGCGATCTCGCCGCCTCGTATCTTGGCGAAGGCGATGTCCATGCCCCACCTTGTCTTCCCCCCATCCCCTGCTGGTATCGCCCACGCGCTGACCGGCGATGCCTTGAGAAAAAATTTGGGTGGCGGCCAGCGGAGAGCGATCGGCTTGCGCGCGCGAGCTCGCCGGTAGTGGGGGGGCGTGATTAATAGGGCCCACTGGCATCCGCATCGCTCTTCAACGCCACTTCGTAATGGAGTTGCAACCCAGCGGCGCACGGCCTGCTCCATCAGAATAATGCCCCTGCTTGTGTGTTTTTTTATGAATGAACAGACTACATGTTGCATATGCTCGCTGGTTAGAGGAAAACAAACCACACCCACAGAAGTGGCATTTGCACATGTGGTCACTTAAAAGTGTGGGAGGGGAGGGGGAGTTTAGACTTGGTATGCATGTGAACAACCTCTTGGTTAAATTTTGATTTAAAGCTTTCGTGAATGCAGTGATTCATATTCTTGGTTCTTTCGGTAAAGTCACGTAGAAGGGAAATAATACAATAAAAAATATATAAAACATTAAAAATTATCACGACGTTTCGACTGCAACACAAGCAATCATCATCAGTTGTGAAATCCACAGCAAGAAATCCACACTTTTTTCAAATTTTCTTGCCGTGGGTTTCACACATGATGATGATTGCTTGTGTTGCAGTGGAAACGTCGTGAGAATTTTTATTGTTTTATTATTTTATTATTTCCCTTCTACGTGACTTTACCGCAAGAACCAAGAATATATAACCTCTTGGTTGTTTAGGATTTTTTTGCCAAGGACAATTAAAAGGATCTTCATTCTTAAACGATTGATGCATGGTGCTCATTTCCATAAACAGCCCTGAGGCAGTGGTGGCAACTCCATGTTCCTAAGGCACCCCGGGCGAGCCCGTCTCTCTGCAGGACAACCACTGTTGAGTTACCACCAAATGTTACTCATTTTATCGATCCTGGAAGGATGATGTGCCGAGTCAACCCTTCGAACGTGAATTGAACTAGCGACAGTCTGATTGTGCCGTCCATCACAGAGCCTCCCAGACAGATTGTTGTTTTGTGCTGCCTTGCTTGTTTAATTTTCTTTTTAAATCTACTAATTAAAGAACAGTTGTACAGTTTAACACGTAGGCTTAGCATGGTGTGAGCGAGCAATTGCAGGGCTGCACCTTTACCCAGCTTACAGGTTTACCGACGGGACGTCTGTGCGTGTGCTATGATCGGTCGCCTGATGAGGCTGGTTGTTTTTGTAATTACCGGCGAAACGTCATAGTACTCGAATTGTAGATGTTGTGGGTTTACTCTCCAACGCGCTGGTGTGCTGAACTAGTAACTAATTGGCACGTATTGTTTACGTGACAAGCATTACTAATTGGTTGTGTCGGGATATTTTATTAACATTTTTATTTTATTATTTTAGTATGTTTCATTTTTATTATTTTATTAATTCCCTTCTACGTGACTTTACCGAAAGAACCAAGAAGATGAATCCCTGCAGTCACGAAAGCTTTAAATCGAAAAATATTTATATTTACGCGACCGAACACAAAAAAAACCTCTGTTATGGAGTTGTTGCACAGTTGACATCCAACATGCAAGGTTAGTTCTTACAAATGTCCCACTCTTTGGCTTATCGCCTTTGCACTGGTCTCTGACCCCCGAGTACAACCGCCAACACCTGTGTCCGTAACATGTGCTCAGTCCCACCATGCACGCGTGCCGAACTTATCAAAACCTCCTCCTACCAATCACAACCTTACCCTCCATTAAAACCCTGAAACATGCACCACACACGCGCACCTCGACCTAAAAGGCCAAAGGTTTTTGTTTGTGAAGCTAATTTGTTACCCTGCTAGTTACTGCCAAATTGGGTACTTGATTACAGACAATAATCGAGCAGCGCTTAGATTTAAGTAGAAGGATCATGTAACCCAATCAACAAACACCCTGTTATTTTGTGTGTGTGCATATGCAGACACACACCTGGACTGTGTACAGGTTACAGGACAAGCATGAAGGTTTATAAATAATGATGATGTACAGCTCTGTCAATCCACTGCAGCATGTAGGCCTTTCCAAGCTAAGGCAGTCATAGCGGTTATTGGGCCATACTCATACCTGTCAACCCCTTATCAGTGCCCTACCTTATTACAGACCAATTCAGACCTTATTGATCACCTCGTGGATCTTATAAATCTCAACGTTCCTTCTACAAAGTCCCATCATAAGGGAGAAACACAAACAAATAGACAAACATGTTTTGTTTTTGCCCATATTGAAACGGCTGCACGTCGTATGGACCTGAAAACTCAATTTCCCTGTACAAGAATACGGGGTTAAACCGTATGGGGTGACAGGTATGCATACTTCCCTATGCCGGTAAATGCTGGTTGGTGAAGAAGTTGGGTACAGGACTGGTTCAGGCATCACTCACCACTAATGTTAGATTCTCTGTCGCTGGAGATGGATCATAGTGGCAAAAATTATAAAGTTATTTTACACCTCACTCCACTCACTCCAGTGGAACCTCCCTTAAAGTCACCCAAAGTATATATTTTAAAAAAAATCTCATTAATAAAGCTTAACGCTCACGTCAGACAATGCGGAACACAAAGCATAAGCATCAGAGAAATGAAGCTTAGCAGTGAGAACAATTTCACAGAGTGCAAGCGAATCAAGCAACAATCAAGGAATAGTGATGCAGTCCGTACGTTCCATCAAAAGGCACTCACCATCCCAGCCAGGAAGAGGAAGAAGATGATCAGCCATGGGATGTCAGTGCAGCCTCGGTTTTCGAGAGGGGTCCATTGCCTTACAGTCCGCGAGCCTTCCCCCTGCAAAGGTCACAAATGAAACCATGAATCTTGATTTGAAGCTTTCGTGACTGCAGGAATCCATATCTCTGGTTCTTTCGGTAAAGTCACGCACGTAGATGGAAAATGTATAGATCACGACGTTTCGATCGCAACACAAGCAACCGTCATCAGGTGAAACAAACACAGCAGGAGAATTGCTGACGTAGGCACTCCTACGTCAGCAGTTTACTGAAAGAACCAAAGAGTATGAAACCATGAAATCAACGTTCAACTCCGTCCATACACACTTGAGTGTTGGGCGGTACTCATCACCACTGAGTCAAAGGCCAGTGGTGTAAATTGAGGTGCTATTGTGGCTATGAGATGTTAACTCCCTTGCCTGGTATGAAGGAGGTCGTGGGTTTGATCCCGACCCTGATGCCTGTTGTATATTTGGAGTTTGAGTGTCTCTCTCTCTCCCTGTGGTCGCGTGGATTTTTCTCCGGGTCCTCCGGTTTTTCCCTCCACATTTAGAAGCGTGCGTTTAGAGTATTTGGCTGCTATAAATTTCAACATGAAAAGCCGCGTCGTTGAGCAATCATTTGTGATAGTCAGGTCGCTTCTGAAAAAAAGTAATCCAGCTCAGTGAGCTGTATGTCGTAAAAAAAAATGTTCGTTTAATTTAGAAATTCCACATTCATAAGGTGTATAAGCAAGAAATAATGTAATACTTACAAAAAATGCATCAATAACTTTAAAAAAGCAACACCTGTTACACATCAAAAGCAGCTGAAAGGGCCTGTAGCCCCCATCTAACACATGCACTTTTCCAAAATTCGTTTTAATTTAAGTAACCCAACTTGTTGAGCACACTGGAGAATGACACATTTTCAATTCGTTTCACTAGGAATTTTAGCTTCACCGCCCAGGTGCCCAAAAGGTTGAAAAAAATTGTCAGTAAGAAACAAGTTTCAGAACTGGTAATATAAAAGTGGTGCACTCAAATGACAGCTAGATGCATGCTATCTCCATATATTTTTTTCAAATGTCACGCTTAAAGTGAAACCCAATGACATGCTGCCGAGGCTGGACAAGGAGAAATTGCGACCGGTTCTTCACGCGATTCCACGCCAGCCGAGATTTAACTTCCAAGTTATTTTCTCAAGCAGGAATTGCAACATTGTGCGATCCGAATACCAAACCTTGCCAATGGCAAACAGATTTTCAATCCCTCGCCGTGTTTTCTCGCATGTCTGAACACAGTGAATTCACGCAGCCGTAGAATGATCAATTGTCTGTGCCATTTGAGAGTGCGTCATTGCGCTCTATGAGGCTCTAACTTTAACACGTCCCATCCATTTCACATCATTCCCCAAATGACTTGTTTAAACACGCTTCAGGCGCTATCGCAAGGGCTGGCAAGCGACGGGGCTGTTTTGGGTGTTTCCGCATAACTTAATGGGGCATCGTTCAAACTACTGCTCAAAAAGGCATTTCTATTGTTGCTTGCACTGTATAAACCACACCTCAAAAATCACGCGCACAAATATCACCGAGCAGAACGGTGAACGAATACAGCGTTTAGCATGCTATAAAAAAGGGTTTGAACTTTTCGGGTGTACACAATTCACTTTTGGATAGCACAGTGTACGTTAATACGGGAACGTGTCCAAGCAGGCTGTGACAGGTTCGGGCAGCATTAAGTGAACACAAGCGTGTACACCAAGGACAATTCGTGTGTGCAAAGCCAGCCCCATGCCGAGGCCACCTTTGCATCCAACCTGGGAGAGGCTCAGGGCAAGTTTAGAGATCCAATTGCAACAGATGTTGCATGGCCAGGAATTTAACCTACATCACCAGAGTGCGAGAACCTTTACACACAGACGCAAGAAGCGGGGTTAGGGCTCAGCATTGAGATCCATGCTCAAAATAGCACAGGATTGATGCTAATACACCAGCAAATACGGCCACTTAATGCATGGGAGTTCTCTACAATGGACTCTGATTAATTGCCTTGTCCCTCGGGCCGAACCAATCACGCTGAGGCACAACTCACTCTCTGGTTCACAGTAATACACTGTGGTCAGTTGGCTTCTGCTGGGTAAATTGAGGTAGCACTAATCTTATTTGGTGGCCACGAACCAGTTGGTATAATTTCCACATTCTCAAGACAAGACCAAGTCTTTCCACGAGATGACCACTGTAGATTTCCCACGAAGCGACGCAGATTTTATATCCTTCTCAAGCAACAATGGCATTTACAAATGGTTGGCCATATATTTTAAACTGTAGCACTGATCTTCTTGGTTCTTTCGGTAAAGTCACGTAGAAGGGAAATAATAAAATAATAAAAATAAAACATAATAAAATATAATTCTCACGACGTTTCGGCGACAATGCAAGCAGCCATCCCTTGCGTTGTAGCCGAAACGTCGTGAGAATTGTATTTTATTATGTTTTATTTTTATTATTTTATTATTTCCCTTCTACGTGACTTTACCGAAAGAACCAAGAAGATGAATCCCTGCAGTCACTATAGCACTGAGTTGAACGAATTCCAAACCATCTTAGTCAAGCAAATGATGCCACACCACCCCCTGAGCTTCAATGACAAAATGGAAACGTAGACACGGCGTGTTCTCAAAATAACGCGGGCAGATATATCGTGTCCCAAATATAACAGCACTTTTCTGGGACACCTAAACGTTGGAAACATTGGAGAAAATTGAAAAATTGCACGCCCGAAGTTCAAAAAATTGAACGAGCAAAGCAATGTTGACTGGGTCTCTACGCAACGTGGAAACGTCGCGGGCCAGGCAGTCCCCGTTTAGGACTGTCCTGGTTTGGTGGATCTCAAAAACGTTGTACAACTCCCTTCCTACGGCTTGCCAGGAGAATCCGGTAGAGCAAAGCGTGGACTGTTGTCATCGGTCCCGAGCAGGCGTGGGTTTTCTCCGGGTTCTTCCCACGTGTAAAAACTGTCAATTGGCTGAAAAAAATCTTTTTATATAGAGGACTGCAGAGCTTGGGCAATTGTTGGCACCGGCTCAGCGCCAGGCTGCCTTCCAGCTTGTGTGGTTCCTCGGCGATTGTCGTATGCAATGTCCACGAACGATAGCGCCATGTAAAATTAAACATTGTTGTTTTTGTACAGTAGACCGGCAGTCCCCAACATTTTTTACACCAGGGACCGGTTTCGTGGAAGACAATTTTTTCACGGACCGGGGACGAAAGTTCACCATTGGGTCTTTCCCCTTTTTCAAAAGAAATTCTCCATTGACGTTTGTTTTTTACTTATTTTGGCTCGGGGTTAGCTTGTGGGCTTACCAACACTGTGACTGAGAGACAAGTGCGCAGTGCGGGAAAGAGGCGCGGACAGAAGTGGTAAATAAAATAACGGGTGGGCCACGCGCGGACTCACCGCTCACCGCCTGCTGTGCGGTCCGGTTCCTAACAGGCCACGGACCGGTACCGGTACCAGTCCGTGGCCTGGGGGTTGGGACCCCTGCAGCAGACAATTTAGCATTTTATTGTACATTACATAATTAGCTTGTAATTTCTGGTGGTTGGGTTTATCCATACCTTTCTTTTAAATTGTTATTTTTTCTCCAGACTATTACAAGCAATAGATATAACATTTCAAACGGAAAATAGGCTACACTGGGTCTTCGCTAAGAATACATGTTGAGGGGGCAGCCCGACCTGAATTATCCCAGGACTTCAAGGACAGGCCAATGTATTAAGACAATTCTGTGTGTTGAACATTAAACCGGTAACACACATTTAAACATCCCTCCCCTAAACAAACGAAAATGAGCATTGTGAACCTTTGTTGCTAGTAAAGGGCAATGTAAGAATAATAACCAACAGTATGTGAAAAGTCCGTGAAAACAATGCCGGTTGGCCGTCACATTTTTCAGGTAAACGTGTTCATCTTGGCAGCGAGTGTTGGTATGAGGGCCAGGTATGACTTCCCCGCATGGCAAGTAAATGATGGGGGAGGGGGGGCGAAACCAGATATTCCAGCTGCAACCTTGCGTAACAGCCACCACAGCACCGCATGTATGTGAAGGGAGTTACGCTTGATAATGCGAAATGCCTGCGAGTATCGTTTTACATTGCCTGCCTCCTAAACACAATGCAGATGGGAACCACGGTTTGCACGCATTTAACGAGGCACCAACCTAATAATCTTGTGGCTAAGAGTATTCATTGAAGGGCCACTTCTCACGTGGAAAGTTTCTAAAAGTATTTACATTCTGAAGCTAATAACCGGTGTCCTTAACGTGCTGGGCGATTATGCAACTGGTTCAGCTGCGGTGTGGTCCCTACAGTAAGCAATTGAATATATTTTAATGAGCGAGACCCTTCTTTGCTGATGGAACTTGTAAAGACGAAACCGGTCGACGGGTTTGTTCGATTGAAAATCAATTCTGCTGGAAAATTCCGGGTGGTCCCGTAAGGCCCCAATTGATTAATCGACTTCTTTTTTTAAATATCTGATATTTTATTGGGTTAGAGAAGCAAGCATTGCGTGTGTTTTTCCTCTCTCTCTCTACCCCATAATCAGTCAGGTCTTTTAAAACCCCAACTTGAGCCCCTCTGTGTTCTAAACAATTAAGTGCTTTGTGTGGTGTCTACGTGCCAGCCTCCCCGAGACGTCTTTACATACATCATCAGGAGTTTGCCATTCGCGCACACAAATAATAAGTAGAAACCACAACCGACCGTTATCGTGTCCACATTTGCCGTGTTTAGAAAACCCGACAGTACAGATGCCATTCGCTTGTGCAAAGTACGTTACGTAAAAAAACAAGCGTGCTGTCTCGCGTGCAGTGCACCGTATCGGATTGTTAGCATCGACACACGTCCACCTACGTCCACTCCACTGCTAGATGACAATCTCCGCGGGGTCGTGGGGTCGGGGGGCTATTTGACCACATTTCACCGTGCTGGTCAGTGCCGAGGTTGGTGCAAACGGCGGGGAGGGGGGGGGCATTACTGACCGAGGGGGCAGTGATCTTTACTCATTTGCAGATCTGGGGAGAGGGCCCCACTTTCGCCGATAAGATCATCATGGGTGCGAGGAGGGCCACCACACCATTTGAACCCATTGTTGGGTTTGACAGCGGCAGCACGATGATAATGGTGGAGGGCCGTGTTCACTCGTTGTGTATTGTCATAGAGGGGGGGGCACGTCAGGGGCCGCACTAAAGGCCACCAGGAGGGCCGCTAGTGGCACGTAGGGCCTTGCAATTTAGAACACTGGCGAAGTGGAGGCATAGGAGTTGCGAGGAACAATGGGGGTTTCTGCACAGATCTCTGGTAACTCAACCCCGTAAGCCCGGTCTGCCTATCCACAACCTCCATAAGTTTTTATTTGGGGGGTTAGATCGCGTAAATATGAATGGGTTGTCACGTAAACAGAAGATGCCAATTCGTTACTAGTTACAGCACTTACACCGCTGCTGTGTAGGAGTAAATCCACAACATTTACTATCTGAGCACGACGTTTACGCTAGTGATTAGTCGGGTGGTGGTGGGTTTAAAGACACATTTATATTCATTTACACAATCTAACCCAGAACACCTATATTGTGGATGATATTGGTTGCGAAAGCCTAATACGTGTTAAACTATCCTCAACCTGTTCGTGTATGGTGATCACCCATCCAAGCAACTGTCCGGGCTCAACTTTGCTGAGCTTCTAAGATCTGACATCTAACAACTCACAACACATTCGCCAGATCTGATGAGATCGGGATATGATGATGGGCAAAAAAAAAAACATGTGAATGTGCTGTATGAAAACAGGTTTCCCCCTTTTTTCTAGCAACAAAACAGGTGTTGAGATGTATTCTACATGACTTTACCGAAATAACCAAGAATATGCATCCCTGCGGTCACGAAAGCTTTAAATCAAAATTTAAATGTTGAGATGTTAAAACACCAAACTGAAACCTTTTACAAGGAATTATGTCTGCCTTAACCACAATGCTTGTGGTCAGAATGCAAACAAAACTGATAAGAAATGCATTGTCCTTTGAAACTGATTGGTCCACATCAGAAACAGCTTTCTTTAGAGCCTAGGTGTTAGACCAGAGGACGCCAAAATGTGCTTTATGTTTAACTTCTTTCGCACCGTACCGAAGCCAATAGTTGCTGTACAGAGGTACCGGGGGTAAGGACTGCAAACCAAAACTAAAAAGCGGTAGTATGCGGCTACATTATACGTTGTGCACTATCGTTGAACACTGTGTTTTTAAATATATGTATAGGGTTCTCGTATCGATTGAAAGGCCTCCAAGTTCAAACTCCTTCGGCTTCATCGGCAGCTCGTTAGGATTTCCTTGAAGGAACCAACCCAAACATCTGCTGAAATCAAGCAAAAGCAGGTCGGGGTCTATTTTTTTCCGACGCGCACTCGGCACAAGAACAGTGGAATTTCCACCGCCGACTCACGACTTCGCCAGACGTTCGGGGGGGCTTTCAAGACGAATCGTCGGCGCCGATTCAGACTCGCGTAGCAAAGCCCCTTTGGGTTATTGTTGTACTGCACTTTATATGCTGCCACCACCACCACCATCAACACTGAAGTCGCACGCACGGGTCGGCACGACTGCGGCCTTCCCCGGCACTGCCCCGGCGTGCGCGGCCTTCAAAGGAAGAGAGGCTCAGAAGAACGACCACGGGGACAGACAGCTGAAGAGCTGAAGAGCTGAGCCCTCTCGATCCAGCAGCGGATCGAGCAAGAAACCCCGCGTACAGTGCGCCCTGTACAGTTCCTAAAGCGTCGGGCAATGGAGGCCTTGGCGCCTGGCAAGTCCCAGCGCGTTTGCTTCCTCCTCAACAACAAGCAGCAGCAGCAGCACAGTCGTCTCATTGCGAGAGAGAGACAAAGACGGCCGTGGGCAGAGAGAGAGACGCGTGTGTGTGTGTTGAAGGGTGGGCGACTGTGCGCCAACACTCACCTCTTTGCTCGCGCAGCAGCCCATGGCAAGTGGTGGAGCGGCGGACGGAGGCGAAATAAGAGGTTTATATTTGTGTCGCTATTTGTGTTGGGTCTAAACGCTAAGCTGCTTGTAATTGTCGTCGCTTTCTAATGTGTAGCGACGGTGCGTCCCGTGTGGATGTTGTTGTTGTTGTCCGTGTGGGTTTCCGTTAATGGGTTTTTTTTTAAATCTCTTCAACAAAACAACCCGATGTCGAATCTGCGCGGAAAATCCGCGAGGCCGCCACCACCACCACCACGGCCGCGCGCACTCCTCGCGTTAAGTTTCCGCGTAAACAATTGTTAAGCGGCGTGCACTGCGCATGCGCGGCATGGCCGTCCCCCCAGTCCTCCCCCTCCCTCCCCCCCAGTCCCCCCCATACCCCCTCCCCCCCCAGTCCTCCCCCCCCAGTCTCCAGTCCTCCCCCTCCCTCCCCCCCAGTCCACCCCCTCCCTCCCCCCCAGTCCTCCCCCCCACCCCCCCAGTCCTCCCTCCCCCCCAGTCCTCCCCACCCCCCCAGTCCTCCCCCTCCCTCCCCCCCAGTCCACCCCCTCCCTCCCCCCAGTCCACCCCCCCCACCCCCCCAGTCCACCCCACCCCCCCAGTCCCTCCCCCCGTCCCTCCCCTCAGTTTCCCCCCCCAGTCCCCCCCCTCAGTCCCCCCCCCAGTCCCCCCCCCTCTCATCTCCCTTTTAAAGGGACAGCGTGCAAATCCGCGCGCATCGATTCCCACACGTTGAATCATACCTCGTATCCACAATCGATTAAAGGACGTCCAATATGTGTTCGTTTTTTGGTACGATGTCACCACGGGCAGTTATCGACTTACGAACGGGTTCCGTTCCTGAGACCCGTTCGTAAGTCGAACGGTTCGTAAGTTGGGACACATGCACATACGGCCAGCGTTCTGAAATGTGCTACGGTTCAACAAAAATGGGAAGAATTATCAAACTAATGAATGGGAAGAAATAGTGTACACTTGCATGTAATACTGAAATAAATATTGTAGAGTACAGCAAAAAAAAATTGTAGAGTACAACATAAAATAAAGTAACATAAAAAAACGGTTTTGTTTTCACTTATCTTGAGTCCGGATGCTGGCTTGCCTGTCGGAATGGGCGCAATGAGTCCCCACAATTGCACACAGACACGCAGATTACGTACACACACACAGAGAGCACACACACACACAGACACACAGAGCACGCACACAGATACACAGAGCACGCACACACGCAGACACACAGATCACGCACACACACACACACAGATCACGCACACACATATACACACAGAGCACGCACAACAACAACAACAACCGCCATTCGCCACTAAGTGGCGGTGACGTCACCACGACGCTTGTGCCAGGCCATGTGCACCTTGAGGCCACGTGAAGTGTCGAACGCCCGCTGGCAGGAGGTCACGGGGCAGACCCAGCAGGTGCCACTGGTCGACTGACCGAGATGACCGAGATGACTGGCTGATGCACCACCTGTGCCCCCTACTGTGCCAACTTGATGTGCTTTAGCCACCCGGCGCTCCGCTCGTTGGTACACTCACTTTCACACACACAACACATGTGCTCGCGCCGACATACACACACTCCCAGCGCGAGGCTGACTCGTTCCACGTCTCGCAGCATAGCGCCGCTGAACAAAATAGTTCCGTGGTTCCGTTTGCAAGGGCAAGTTCGCGTTTGAAGTCGATGTAAAAACTCTAATGGTTCGTAAGTGCGGCTGTTCGTAAGTCAGGTGTTCGTAAGTGGGTGTTCGTAAGTCGAGGACTGCCGGTGCTGTATTGTTTAGACGCTAAATGCCAGTGAGAGGGCTTCGGTAGCGAGTTCGCGTAGTTTTGCTTTTATGATAAAACTACACATTCGTTTCATAACACTGTGTGTTCTCAAAATGTAGACACATGTAATAGGTGACGTTTCGGGCAATGACCCTTCTGCATAGCACATAAACAGAGGCCAAAGATAGGGTGGATCGTAAGAGTTGGACACGGCACTTGTTTACACCATGGGGCCTGATGAGAATTACATTAATTTTTAAATCCTTTATACAAAGTTCGCTTGCTTGCTTGCGTGCTTGCTTGCTTACGACCGTGCAAATCTTTCGGTCGTTTTTTAACCCACTTCCCGTGATCCAATCGAGCTGATATTTTGCACACAGACTCGTTGTGCGAGACAATTAATGTTCGTGGAAAAAATCAAAAATTTTACACTGTTTAGGGAAAACAAATTAAATATTTAATTACCAATTGCTTAATATTGGCAGACAATCATCTGACCCATAGGTGGCAGCCATCTCAAGCCAGAGGACGAGAGGACTCTAGCCGCCACGCATATAAAGGATTTATAGTGAAAAACTTTGTTTTTATGGGTTATACTTATTTTAAGTTTAATTGGTGAACATTTTTTCAAGTTCATTTCAATTGGCGGTCGAACTGTGACCCTCAAAGCAATGGCTCCCCACCCACCCCGCCACGTGGTCGCCCCCCTCCGTGATCCGTGGATCAATCAAATCACTCGAGACAAGCCGGTGAATAGCAGCCAAGAGCAGTTCGTGGCAACGCTGCCACAAGAGGTCGTCACACGTTTGGCGCCAGCGGTCCTTCGCTGACGATGCGCGATCAATGAATGAATGGATGTGAACATTTTTGAAATTGCCATATTTATAGGCTGAACGATTAATCGATTTCAAATCGAAATTTGAAACAATGCGATTAGTAAATTTTAAAGGCAGCGGCTTTTTTTGCGATTTGAAAAGTCATTACTTTCTAATTGGAAATGTTTTATTATTTATTATTATATCTTTATTTATTTAAATTAACAATTGTTCTATGTTTGATTGTTCTATTTCAGTTAAATTGTTTTAATAAATACATGTTGGAAGCAATTAATATATTTTAAGTTCTCGTCCTTGCATTATAATATCTAGAACAGTTCATATTTTGATGGTATCGTGTGGTAATGCACCATCACATGTTAAGCCTGACTTAAAAAAATTGTAATCGCAAATCAAATCGCAATATCTGTCATAAAAATCTCAATTAGACATTTTCCCCAAATCGTTCAGCCCTAAATTCTTTACCCCCCTTTTAATCTCGTGGCTCGCCACGGGATGGGTTGGTGGTGAGAGAGAGAGAGAGACTATAGCATGGAGCCAGCAGAAGTGAGCTGCACGGCGTCTTTTTATTATTAAACGCTTTTTTTAACTCACTCTGTTGTCGTTGTCGTATAAAATCTTGTAACACAATTTTAACCTACTTCCCAATGTGGTATCGACTGCAAACTTCGTATACTTATGTTTCACTGATGACAATACTATATTCTATCATAAAAAAATAAAAGTATATTTTTAAACAATCTTTTTACACGCTTTCTTTTAACTCACTCTGTCTGTTGTTGTCGTATCCTTAAATCTGGTAACTCAATTTTAACCCACTTCCCAATGTAGTATCGTCTGCAAACTTGGTATACTTATGTCATACTGATGACAATACTATATTCTATCATAAAAAATAAAAGATATATATTTCTAAACATTATTTTTTACATCTTATGTTTCGGCTTGGGTCTAATTGTCCACTGGTCAACTGACGTTGGCTGTAATTGGCCACGGACCTTTACGTTATGGCAAGCTTCGGGGCCACTTCTGGGAGTTGTGGAGTTCTGCCATTACTAGTACATTTCATAAAAGCGTGTTTAAAAAAAAGTTTTAAAAAAATTTACTGATTTCACGGTGGGTGGTCGGGAGAGGGGAGGGGTTCGGAGTAGGCGTGGCCACACAAAAGTCACGTGGTGTACAGGAGGCTTGAGCTGATTCAGACAGATTGGTAGTTTTTGAGTAACAGACAACGCGTTCAGTAATCAAAACTATATGACTAAATCAACTCTGCTTACCCCGAGCTCTCAATACTCTGATAGTGCGCTGTTTTTGAGTTGTACGCCTTTTGGCGTCATCTGGTCCAACACCAATGGAGACTAGGCTCTAAGAAAAGCTGTCTCGGGTGTGGACTAATCAACTTCAAGGACAGTGCATATCATTATCATCATCAGAGTTGTTTATTTTTGTTTGCAATTTGACTGCTTGTGTTGTGGTTATTGCAAACGTGATGCCTTGTATAAAGGTGTCAGTTTTTGTACCAGTTTAAAGGGTAAAAACCTATCACTATAAATCAACTCAGTTATATTAAAAGTAACGTTATAAATTGCTGTTGGCACATTGCATGACAGAACTGATGGTAAAACAGTTGTGAAATAATGCTATTCCATTATATTCCTTTAATTGACATAATTGTTTTTGAGTGAGGAGACACGGAAGATTGATGTCCAGATTCGTGTCGTTGTCCCTCCACCACCCGACGAAATTGTCACGTTTACAATGATCCCGTATTATTTATACGTGCCCAATGTATCGATCAAATTCTGACCGATAAACCTCCTTCGCGAATGGGGACCTATCAAAGTTTTGCAGTAGAGGGCGATGTTGCAGCTGCGTGTGATTGACAGTTTATGAAGTACGTTGTCGGTTATGTTAATTGTTGTGTATTATTCACCTTAGTTTGTTGTGTATTATAATTATTCACGTTAGCTTCAAAGGGGCTGCATTTTATTTTCACCAGAGGCGTGATTGTGCCCTCTTGTGTACACTGCAGGTACTTGAACCATTGAACACACCACATCAGCAACACAATAAACAACTCATAATAACGTCTTTGTGGACAAATAAAATAAATAAGCAGACAATGTACGCGTTAGGCTGTTGGGATGTATAAAATACATTATTTTATTTGGTTTACCTACCCTGTAAATTGGCTAGGAGATGTTAACTACTTCGCCTGGTATAATACGAGGTCGTGGGTTCGATTCCGAACCGGACGCCTGCTGTATATTTGTAGTTTGCGTGTCTCTCTCTCTCTCCGTGGTCGCGTTGATTTTTCTCCGGTGGAAAATATCTACCGCGGTTAAGGGCCGGGAAAGCGAAGGGCATTACAGCCCTTCCTCGTACACGTATGTTGAACTTCTGTCGCACCGTACGTAGCCATCCGCATGGGGTACATGTAGGGGGAGCGAGAGGGGGGGGCAGATTGAGCGGATAGGGGCCGTCCATAAATGACGTCACGCGATTTGGGAGATTTTTTACCCCCCCCCCCCATCGTCACACGGCGTCACAAAAAGTCAGACCCCCCCTCAAATATGACTTCACAAAGCTCTGCCCCCCCCAAAAAAAACAAAACATGCTTCAAATCGCTTTAAACTATTGTCATTGTCGTGCGTATTTAATGTGGCGCTGCACTCTGATGTTGTAGGAGAAAACATTTATTAAAACAAAGTCTATTTAAGTAGAACGTGTTGTCTGTATGTATTTAAAGTTGCGGATTT